CCCCCCTTAAAAAAAAAAAAAAAAAAAAAAGCTTTCCCCAAACATACAAAAATGGTACTTATAATTTTATGGCTTAAAAAAAAAATTAATATCCTAATGATTCGTTATCTCTTCACGATTTTCCCCAATATTTAAATCTCTACTCCAAATACATGGAGTATAAAACAAACTTATCATCACCTACCTTTAAATAGTACTCCCACTTTTCTCCCAATATTTAAATATCTACTCCAAATACATGGAGTATAAAACAAATTTATCATCACCTGCCTTTAAATAGTACTCCCACTTTTCTAATTTTTGTGGCATCAATTTTTAGAATCAAACTTTTTAATTTCTACCTGTAAATTTATAGATTGAAAGTTTTTAAAGATTTTTTTTTACATATTTATAAATTTCATAAGACGTACTATAATTCACAATAATTAACAATTTAAAATATTTAAAAAGCAGATAAAAATATTACAGTCAACGAAAAACACATTTTGACTTCGAAATCGGAACTATGCCCCATAAACTACGACAGAAGGAGTATTAATAAGCCTTGTCTTAAACATGTGTATTTATATATTAACAAGATTATTATCACCTATACCCTATATAAATACCTTTTATTAATCTCTTCACCACCCCAAAACTCAACTTTTCACATACATATATCTGAATCTTTTTTGAAAAAATGTCAGGAGTTTGGTTATCCAAGATTACTGAGGTTATTCGCTTGGTTGAAAACCCAAGTGAAGAAGAGCAATCAAATGGGAGAAAAAGAAAGGTTTTGATACATTTACCAACACAGGAAATTGTCTCATCTTACAAATCTCTTGAGAAAATTCTCACTGATTTGGGATGGGAAAAGTATATTGATGAATGTGATACTGACTCCTATCAATTCCACAAGAAAACTCCCGCTGACTTATCAATCTCTCTTCCTAAGGACTTTGCCAAGTTTAACACAGTTCAAATGTACGACATTGTCTTTAAAACCCGTCATATCTTTCATGTTCGCTATATGTAAACATCATAGAACAACAACAATAACTTTGCCTTTGTTGGTGCAATCTGAGGCGGATACAAGATTTAAGTTTCATCGGTTCAACTTTTAAGGTTATTATTATTGAACCCATTATATTTTTAAAGTTGTGAGTTTATGACTATAGTTTATTACAATCTTAGTAAATTTTTTATAATTTATGTTCTGCGTCAAAAATATTTCCTGTACTAATACATTGCATTTGCCTCTAGCTGCGATATGTAATAAATTCCAATGTGGATGCCTTGTGTTTTTGAGTTCATTTTGTCCAGCAGCCACTCTGTATAGTTATGTGTCCATTATAATGAATAAAAGTTACTTTGTGTCTGTTCCTTTTTCAATTCATTCTGTAATGGTTTATCCCAATTAAAGTCATTTCAATTACTTTACATAGTACTTACTGTATTGAAGTCATTACATTTACTTTACTAGCTGTATTAAGCAGTGCTGGTGCTAAGGTTGGCAAGTGGGTCGGTCCGGGCCGGTGAGCTGAGTGGGCTAAGAGGGCTAAGTGGACCGGTAGGACCGCTAGAGGTGGGTTTGGACCGGTCTCGTGGGTCGGTTCTTGCCTAGGAACCGTTAGGACCGGGCCCGTTTGACCTACCAAGGGACCAGGACCGCCAAACGGGTCCAACAGATATTTTTTTTTTTTTTAAAAACTAACCGTTTGGCTATTTAAAAAAAGAGCTGTGGGGCTTTAAAAAATAGCAGTTGGCTATTTAAAAAATAGGCATTTAATCCCCCAACTTAGTTTTAACCCCTAAAATAGTATTCTTTCATTTTCTTACAAAATCAATGTCAATCTATCACAATCTCTCTAATTTTCTTCTATACTTGCTACTATTTGTTACTTTATTCCAAAAAATAATAAAAAAATATCGAGGTTGTTACAATTTGTAAACAATTTGTGAAGTTGGTGAATTGAAATCTTCAAGTCTTTAACGATAATCAATTTTCAACAAATTGTTCGTCAATTTGGTAAACTCGTTCCAACTCTTAAGTCTTAATATTATAGTTTTGTTTGTTTTATTTATTTACTATTACTTAATTAATTAAGATGTCTTCCTTAAGAAATATTTTTGGTAAAAATAAGAATAAGGTAAAATTCAAGACTAGCGAATCTAGTGGTACTGTTGTTCCTCCTCCCCTTCCCGCGGCTCCCCGAACCAAACCCATGTCACGACCCCAAATTCCCTCCGTAAGATGTCGTGATGGCACCTAATTTCTAAGATTAGGTAAGCCTATCAATGCGGAATAATAATAAATATATGAAATAAATAAACTACAATTCAAACAATTTCAACTCTCAAAACCCGGTAGAAATAAGTCACAAGCTTCTAAGAATTTATTCTCAATGTCTCTATATATCAAGGTCTAAAGAAAAATAAGGAAGCAACATAAAAATGATAGAAGGGGACTCTGGAGTCTGCGTACGCTGACAGATATACCTCAAAGTCTCCGTGCGCAGGTAACTCACTGACGTCTAGGCTGACAAGATGTACCTGGATCTGCATAAAAAGATGTGCAGAAGTGTAGTATGAGTACACCACATCGGTACCCAGTAAGTGCCAAGCCTAACCTCGGTAGAGTAGTGACGAGGTCAGGTGAGGCTCTACTGGAATATAATAATGACATGGTAAAATGTTTAACAATATAGTAAAATAAAATGACATTGGAAATGAATCAAGTAGTGAGTCACCATTTAATTAAGCAAAATAATGGCAAATAATATCTCGTGAAAACAAAACAGAATTTCCTTTCAACTTTAAGAAAATCACAACAAATAATTAAGGCAACTGCGGTCATAAATCAATATCAACAAGGGCACTCTCGAGGTACCGCCTTGTAGTCCCAAATCATAAACAAATTCACAATATCTCATTTCCTTATCTCACCGCGAGAGCCTTCACAATTTATTTGAAAGAAAATATTTTTCTCGAAATAGCATCCCGTGTTTTAGCCATCCTTATCACACCGCATGACTTCTAGTAGTTCCCCCTACTAGCCGCGCGTATCAAGCCACCCTTATCTCACCGCATGCGTTTCAATACCCAAACCTCATACCACCGCATGCGTATCAATATCACAATATATCACAATTTGCACCTCAAGTACTCAAATAATGTAACTTGCCAAAATAATTCAACAACAGTATTTTTATACAATAAAGAGCTCACGGCTCATGCCAAAATAAATCATCAATAATATTTTTCCACAATAAAGAGCTCACGGCTCCATCACAATGAGTATAAAAATCTTACAAAATATTCAAGAATAAAAAATTCAAGAAAATAATATTTCAAAATCTTTAATACGTTGCTTCAATATCAAATTTAAAATGTCAAATACTTCATATTAATAATATTTAATTTAAAGAAAATTACCCTTCAAGTAATGCACAGAATAAAAGAAACCAAGTTTCAACTAAATAGGTATAACAGTTAGCAGGAAAAAGGTCAAATAAATTTAAGGTATATATCTCAAATCAATGATGAAGAATATAACAAGATAAAATAATTTAAGAAATGCGCAACAATGATCTACACAATTTAAAAATATAATCTTTCATATTTAGCCCGTGTACACACTCGTCACCTCGTGTACACGACTTTTAACACATTTTAATAATCACATTAATATCAATTTTAGGGGAAATTTCCCCCACACAAGGTTAGACAAGCTACTTACCTCGACTTGCTCCAATTTAACCAAGTAGTATGCTTTTTGCTCGATTTTTCGATTCCAATCGACTCGTATCTAGTCATAATTAATTCGATACAGTCAACAAAAATTATAGAATCAATTCCATAAGAAAATACTATATTTTTCAATAAAATCCGAAATTAACTCAAAAATGGCCCGTGGGGCCCACGTCTTGGAATCCGGAGAAAGTTATGAAATATGAACGTTCATTCAACTATGAGTCCAACCATACTATTTTTACAAAAATCCGACATCAACTTGACCTTCAAATCTCAAATTCTCATTTTGAAATCCCTAGACTCAAACCCTCTAATTTCACCTCAAAAACATGTAATCTATTCGAAATATTCAATGATAATCCAATATAATTGACTAACAATGATCACATGTGACTTTTCTCAAGTTTTTCCGTGAATTCTCTCTGAAAAGTCGCCCAAAACCGTGTTGAAAATGTCCAAATGACAAAAATAACGGAACCCCTCTGTTTTTGTAATCTGGTCAGTGCTTTCGCTCCTGCGGACAAAATTCTCGCACCTGCGGTCCCGCATCTGCGGTGAAATACCGCATTTGCGGAAATTGCTCAGCCCAGCTGCCTTCGCTTCTGCGAGCTTTGGACCGCATCTGCGCCTTCGCAGGTGCGGAAAATTCCATCGCACCTGCGGACCTGCCCGCACCTGCGCCCTTCCTCTCGCTTCTGCGCAACATGAGCCGCATCTGCGGCTCCAACTGGGCAGCCCTTCGTCCGCTTCTGCGAGCCAC